CTTTTATATTCAGTCGTTTCTCATCTTTATCATGTAGTTGTCGTTATGTTTTATTGCAGAATTGCTGGAATACAGTGAAGATCGCCATCCGTTGGAAACTATTGAGGATAAACTAGATGCAATAAGGTCAGTTTTTCTTCATGATATAATATTTATCTACGTTAAACAAAACAACAACAACAACAACAAGCAAACAAACAAGCAAACAAGAAAAATAACAGAAGTAACAAGAACAACTTATGGTATAAGGAGGGTCGGAAAATTTAAGGGAAAAATTCCTGCGTATCGAAGTCGCTGCCTCTTGTGCTTGAAAACACCCGTCGAAAAATTTTGTCAAAAGCAGAGCTAGCTTAGTTTGCGGGTTCAGAAAACCGCGTATCTGGATATAGCTCACTGCCTCGTGCGCTCTCTAAAACACACTCGGAAGACTATGGAAGATTTCTGGGATCGTAATATGTTTTTGAGAAACTCCTTGTATTTGACGTCAAAGCAGCTTTACGGTTTTTTTAAGTTTTTTTTTTGTCTTTTTGTTTTTTGTTTTGGGGGGGGGGGGGGGACTAGAGTTTGGCCTTCATATGAAGCTGGATTTTATTTTATACAAATACTACTATGAAAATGCAATTACCTAAATATATATACAATTTAAACAAATAAATGATATATATATAGAAATAATAATAAAACCATAACTCTCCATCGAGCTTCTCCCATGAGATTGGAATTTGCTTCCCCCGCTTTGTTTGTACAAGCAATAAGCATATTTTTCTTTTTTTCAGAGCAATGATGAAGAAAATCATCAAAAAGATCCCACTWACCCTTGCTAAGAGCGCGTGACAGCCGTTCATAGATCAAGTAACAGTTGCTGGTTGCGTGACGCGATTCTGGCATGAATAAATACGTTATTCTGTCAATCATCTCTAAATCACAATGCATCTTCTTCCAGTAATATTCGCTAAATAAGAGAGAAACGACAGGAGAGGAGTAACATCATTTCATACCATTGCTGGTGTGGCATTAAAGCGACAAAGCGTGACATAGAAGTGACAGAGCATGCGTGACATTTCGAGATGACAGCATGCATGACATTTTAACTGTAACATAGCACGTCAATTTTATCATAACATACTCCAGTAAATTATCACTAGGCAATTTTAATAAATACTATTAAAATATTTCTATGTCACAACAAATGAGTCTTACTACAATGCTAAACAAAGCACTGCTATGCTACAATGCTAAACAATCTGTCAATCATGCAAAACAGACAGAGTCAATTCCTTCAGCTCAAATAAACCTAATATTCAGTTGAGAGCTTTGTTTGAGTTTGAAAGGTGTAGCCTTTTTTTCTCGAAAGTATATCCAAAATTACAGCCAGTTTTTGGACATATTTGTCCATCTTTTGTTGTTTAAATTTCCACTTTTTCCACTTTTGTTAACTTGCAAGATCTGAAGACATAATGGTCTCCTTCGCGGTTCCCTGCGGCATCTGTGAATGATAGCCGTGACTTACATCGAAGCGAGACAACCATTGAGCGTGCAATGATAGAAACGTCTGGATATTGTCTGTAGGTGTGAAAGAAGGTTTCTAACATTGCACGCTCAACGGTCCTCTCGTTTCGATGTAAAGGCATGGCTACCATTCAGGATGGCGCAGGGAACCGCGAAGAAGACTATTTTAGGACTAATACACATTATCTTTAGTTTCTAAGTTCTTTTTATCAAACAATGTTTTATTTAAGTTGTTTCTTGGTCAGCGACTTTACTGTCTGAACAAACTCATCGAGTCGTGGGTCYACTTTGTCGAAACAGTCCCCCTCGAGGTGAAATAACCGTGARGTACCCAGTCTCTTGGCTATCCAATCTTTGGGCTGTTCGCTGTTGAAATACACCACCACAATTCTATTCGTTACAGTGTCTTCTTGAACAAAAGCTTTAATGATACTGCCATCGAAAGTTACGAAGTCGTCTCGAAATTCACTGTAGCCYTCTTGTAAGTAATCTTCACARGTCTTTGAATACACGAGGACGATGCACTTGCTCTGGAAAAGTTCGTCCTCTAGAGTAGATTGGTTGCCAAGGACGTCCAAGATGTTGTTGAGCTTCACGTGTGACCCGAGTTTCATGCGTAAGTAGTCTTTGAGCTCCTCGCTATTGTGTTTGTCTTTCTTAGTGTAGAGGAACAGAACTTTGAACTCCGTCATCGTTCTATTGCATAGGAAACTGAACGGAAAAAAAGTAAATAAATGAATAAAAATACAAAACAAAACAAAACACTCAGTTTGCTGAAGAAGGCCGAAGTGCCGAAACGTTCTAATAAAGAGTGGAAATACTAGTTGCAAGTTGTGTGCCTTTTTCTTCAATTTACAAATAAGTATGAATAGCCCTATTTCATTATGACGTCACAGCATGTTTACATGGGGCAGATTCCTCTATTTCGATATATGCCCGAAGAGGTCGATGAGAGGGAGAAATTTAATTTTCCTTCGACCTTCCGCGATGCACCGCACGCCGATAAAATGAACAAGCAAAGTGATTGGCTRCGAGTGTGTCAGGCGTTGAGTGCTAGCGCCCTTGAAACCCTGCAACTTGGATAAATGTTCTACGGAATTGTAGCTTTCTAGAATTGAGACTTCAGCATGGTACTTCAGACATTATTACAAAACGGAATATAAACAATTGAACTTGATGATTTGCTTCTTGAAAAGTCAATACATGTAACGCATTATGTGTAACAAATCAGTTTGGATAGCATTTTAGCCCACCTTAAGTGGCTTGGTAATATATATCGCACATTAGTGTTAATCTCAAAAGCTTTATTAAAAGACTTTGAATGAGTAAGGATCGTTATTTATCTAATTCAGCCAGATATATTCTGTATATAATGTTCTTTGATAAGGATTTCCCAGTTTAATAGGCCAGAATTGAAATAGACAGTTATCTAACTGACACACAAATTGAATAGCGAACAATGTACATTCAACAATGTTTCATTCATACAAACACAAACTTAAAAGGCAATTCTTGCCTTGTAACACATCCTAAACCTTAGTTTTATCCTAGATAATAAAATTTACATACTTACACTGGTTTAGTAGGGGTCCTTTGAGGCTCTCGAAGCAACAGAATGAGTGAGTTCAGCTTTCTTTAAGCTGTTATTGTGGTCTGCAGAGATTCGAGTGTTGACTGGAATGCGAACCACGTGCCCCAGTGATGGAAATCCTCTTATCAAGCACGAGATCTGTTCTACACACGCTTCAATTAAGGTCAATCTGTATTGATTTTAAATATAACAATGCCATGTCCAATTCATTCATCAAGGCACTTTTGAATCGGACGTATGCAATTGAAATAAAAGTGTCGTCCCTCAAGGGAAATTTGATCGTTGTAATTTCGTCATTTTGTCTTGCTAATTAGGACAGGTAGCCCAACAGAAATACTGGAGAGTCAATGTTTTCGTGACCACGGGGTCAATTTACAGAATGAGATTTTTGAAAAACATAGGGGCATCTCATTAGAAAGATATAAAGGCTATTTCAGTAAATCAATAGACTGAAATAGACCTCTGATGCTTTTACGTCATGTACTGTATACGCAATGCATTGTAGGATATGTTTGGGACAGAACATATAGGATTTCTTTTGTTTTCTCTAGAAATTGATCCCGGCCACAATGCATTGAAAGTCAAGTAGTGACGTAAAAGGTTCAGAAGTCTACTGTGTCGTCAAAATAATTTCGTTCAGCAGGAAGTTATGACGAGGCGCGCTAAGCATCTAGGGTGGTGTTGGGACCGTAAAATACACTATATTACTCTAGAAAGAGAACTACATTTTACCAATATGAATATTTCGACCTTTACAGCCTTTTGCAAAAATTATGAGAATTGTCTAAATATCTAAATATCATAATATCCATATCCATATATTGTCCGGAACACGCGGGTTTGCTAGAATAATTCATTGTTGACATCGAGAAAATGCTCAGAACTACGGATAAGTCCGTCGCCAAAAAAAACTAAACAACGAAGACAAGGGACTAAGGGCATCGCGCGGGATCATGCACTTGATATTATGATATTTAGATATTTCAACAATTCTCATAATTTTTGCAAAAGGCTGTATCCAAAGGCGATCGACTATATTCCCAAAAGAATATATTACTCAGTCTTTTTATTTTGAGCTTTTTTCATCGTCCTATCGGTGTATCATTCTCTATCACATCATTTCACAGTATTACATATTGTTTCACGGGTTTATCAAAAGCCACTCTAATATCTATTTCAAGGATTGTTGACCTCACTTCATGATCAAAGGCTGACTGACTCAGTACACGAGTCGCAGGTGGCAACTGGTAAAGCATRAACGGTTCACTTCGTCAGTGACTGTACTCAACCTTCAGTAGATTTGTTCGTATTGCACAGTATATTAGAAAAGTGGTTTATTAAATCATTTTCATCTGATTTCCTTATAATAAAACAATATAACAATGGTGGAATAGGTACTGAAAAAATGAAGTTAAAACTAATATCTGGCTGCTCTAGACCCTGTCATGTCCTTGTCTGTTCTTAGCATGTAAAGATCTCAGTGAGCGCAGTTTGTATTGAGATAGTCATCATGTAAAATTTCTCTAGTAAAAGTTTTAATGTGTCCTTGTTTAAATTCAGCTAATACCTATTTAAAATATAAAATTCTAAGTTTACAGGTTGCCCTTACGTTAGTGTGCARTAGGGATCTACGAGGACCATATATTATGAATACGACAGTTCTGTACTATGTTGCGAGTAGCTTGTTACAAATGTGAACTGCACTAGTAACGCCTTGTTTGATTCTATTTTTGATATCACTATTGAGGACATTGCAGTGCTCCTTTTCATATTAAAATTATAAAACTAATATTAGAAAAACCAAKAGTATCAAGTTTATGGCTAGTGAAGTAATTTTTGATAAWTCTAAAAATTTTGTAACAGCCGAATTTACCTGTAACTTGAGAAACGAAAATACAAAATGGCTATCTTCTTCTACATTTGAGTGCAGTTTTTCTTCTTCTTAACCGGTTTAGCAGKTTTATCGTTTGCCTTMGAACTCACAGTCCCTTTCACTGCGTCAACAACTTGATCAAGCGCTGGATTCTCACTGTCTAAACTCCCCGTAACAGCAATAGCCYTCTTCTGATCGTAACCATCTATGGCGTGTTCGCTCGAGCCCAGTTGAACTACCACCGTCTTATCTAAAAGGCTGTTCTCYTCGATATGCTGRTGAATGAGTTCGCCGTCAAACATAACAATCCCTCCACAATCTTTTTCTTTGTTTTTCATCTTGATAAGTTCACAAGACTGTTTCGAAGCAACAAGAACCGCACAGCTACAAGTCGTTAATGCATTCTGGAGGGTGATGTCTTCGGCTAGAATGGCTTTGATCGTACTTAAATTGTAGCTTGTGCCAAGTTTGGCTTGAAGAAGATCCCTCAGTGTTTTACTTTCTTTTTCGTCRCCCGACGCAAATAGAASTAGCACGCTTGCCATTTTAGTGAACTTCCCGGYTTGGTAGAATCTATCAGAATGAATCAAATTTCGACATCAGTTCGGGAGAACTGTTTGCAAGTCAAAACATTTAGGCTTGTCGAGTTAATATTGGAATAATTTGCGGTTATCCTCGTGAGTATATCGCCAAATCTGCCAACTGTTGTTTTTTACTRGATATCTTAAAGTTGGTTTAACAAGATAGCGATCAATWCAATGTTATTCAAACGGTTGATACARCCAAATACYAAACATCCGGAGGAACTTGYTCGTTCAAGAGAGTTCTKTATTCAAAGGCGATTTGTAAATTAAATTTTCGTCAAATCATTTGATTGTTAGAAGACCATTACCTCAGCCAGCAAAGAAAATATATCACTATTTCAGCCAATCAAAACGCGAGGAGTTGTTCATTAAGTGCAGCTGTTTTGGATTTGCGCACGCGCAGTCGAGAATTTTTAATCGCCGGATTTTTTAGGCGGGAACATTGTGACAGCTGTGTTAGATTCAGATATTTAAGTATGAAATCTAAACTTAAAGAAATATTGTTCAAATCTTAGCTATTTATGAGATGAATTTGAATTATAATTATTATTATATTATTTTGTTATTTAATAATTAATTTTTATTCTTAAAATGTATATCAGGAATCCATAACAGGCTAAAATTTATTGGCAAAATAGTTAACCCGGGTTTTTGAAGTTGATTGGAAACTGATATAAACTGATTTTGAATTTTTAAAATATATAGAGACTTAATCATAAGTTCGTAGTGAATACAATTAAAAAGGTCAACTTTGAACACAGGGGGCCCAGAACAGTTGTCAGTGACGRTKTTAAAATATGCACATATTTTTGAACGTTAATGTATGTGATCTGTTATGCTTAGAAAATTCCTGTTCTTTCTAAATTATTTTTGTTCAGTAAATGAAGTAAAAAWTTGTCACAGYCRARARCACTWTAAAAGGCAAYTACTTACKTCAAAATCTTTATTTTTTTTGAAATTCAAGGAAATGTCAAATCAAATYATTGTCAAATCAYTGCGCATGCTCCATAMGTATCACAGATCTCAACAGTAGYTGCCAAAATATGTGCACTTTTTTAAAAGCGCAACTGAAATATTGACCGGACCCCCTGTGCTTTTACGCCTCAGCTCATACTAAACGGATCAAAATGTCAACCCAGGCAAAGTTGGACTTTCAACCCAATTCGTTGATGCAATAGAAATAATCGTTTGGCTACAGTAACTCAAATTTCACAAAGCGTAGTTGAAAAACCAAYTTAACTTTTTCCTGATTAACYTTTTTGGTCYATTGAGTATGAGCTGAATTATTGCTGCTCAAAGTTGACCATTGAGTCCATTATAGCATAAACCATGACTAAAATACACCATTCATAATCWTAAACAATAAATCTTGCTCTTAAAAACCCAAAAGTTTCTTAAAGAATATTCATTTAAAGGTTACGTGCCATATTTGAATGAATTGATGTTTTTTTAGAAAGAGTCGAAATTGAATTTTAAAACCTCTTAAACTTACAGACATCTTAGAGAGTCACGCAACACTCAAACACCAAACTTCCCTCCTGGCGTGACAATGGTGACAACAAGAATAGAACCTAATAGTGCGTGRCGCAAACATAATTATCTAAGAATACAACTTTGGTTTATACTGCTGTTAAGTTATCAAAATAGCAAAGAAATTGTAAAAATTAGATAAAAGGGCCCTCGGGAAGGAGAGCAAGTGTTGGTGTTTATAATTCAAAGAAAAACCCTCCGTGGATTTTTACGAGCGTTGTCGAGCAGTTAATCTTATACTGTATTGTTTCAGATTAGCATAATGTTACTGGATTTACCTATCTAAATCTGGAATCTTCACAACTATAACTGATACACATATTCAAAAGAGTTTCAAAGTACTTTCCAGTGTAATATATTGACTTTTTCCCAATCCAATCTTACTGAGAAGTGTCGAACTTGGGGAGGAAGCTTATGTCCTCAAACGCTCTTCTAAGAACTCTCGATAGTTTATGATGAAAAATCATAAATTTAAGCAGCGATAGATTAATTTTGCCGATCAAATAGAGTCCAACCTACCTGTACCACTCTGTTYTACAGCGGGTGTGCGGTATCAGGCTTTGTTCAAGATGCTATTTCTCAAATCGACCAGTGGTATTCTTTGTTAACTCTGAGTCCACTGCGAAAACAAACGCTTGGTTAGGTATCATAGATGTTGACGTCATCCAGGAATGCTGAGGAATTTGACGAAAGACGTATGCGCCCACGGTATGATTCTCAAATGAAAGCGGTTGTTACCTACACATTATTGAACAATGCATGTGAAAATAATTTTTGAACATTATGCTTTAATAATACTTCAAAATGTAGCTCTTTTCATTGTTATCAGTCATTTTGAGACATTTTTGTAGAGTATTTTGATATATTTTTAAAACTGAATGGAATTTACATGAGGATATTATTGTTTCAGCACTTGAAGGGCGACGCCCATCAGACGATCTAACGTAAAGCTGAATCTAGTGAAGAATTTTTACCTATTTTTGTTTTAATGTTTACACCAATGCAAAGGTATGCTCACACTTGTGGCTTGTCACGAGAAAGAACTTCAGTTAAAAAAAACCCCGGATATGACGTCTGGTCACAATGGCCGACATGTTGAAACGTGTTTTAGTTCACATCAGTCTTTCAAGTGTAGGCTCAACATACAAAGCCAGTGCCAATTCAAAGCTTTGTTTTGATAAACATGCGGTCAATGCAGGGATTTCTTTTACAGATTTCTGGCAAAAAGCCCCAAGTAGAAACTCAAACAATGCATGGAATAGGGTGTCAAGTACTTTGTAATATTACGAATGAGAAAACAACTCTAGACACAATATTGATAATAAATTGCGGGGTTTACMCTGCATATAGCTTGAAACATCAAAACTAAGTATGCTCCATTTTAAACGTCGGAACTCACATGTGTGGAGTTCAATGCAATCCAAGTCCCGAACCTGGTTGTGTGGGGGTGGGGGTGGGGGGGGGATATGTGGAGAAGGAGGAGGGGAGGGGAGGGTTRGTCAGGTGTTGCTACATACATCTCAAGGCTTTTCCTTTTCTCTGTTATTCTTAAATTGTGTTTTCCTAACGTAGGACCCTTTACCTCCCTTTACCTTTCATCCACCCTAATTTTCATTATCTTTCTCAGCCTTTGAAAAAGTCTAATTAATGTTGTTTCTGTGTAATCGATGTAATACCTAACATTGAACTGCACACATGGCGAGAATCGGCGTCTAAGATGGGTCTAATCTTTGTTACCGCTCAGCTGATAACTGGATAAAGTTCAATCTGGTATTGACTTTTGCAGTAAAATATTTTTTTTATGTATATCTTTTTGCTTCTAAACGTATCATAGCTGAACCATTTTTCAGTGTGGTAAACGTGGTGCCTTATGATTCAAATGGACCGATCAGAGACAGAGAGTTAAATCTGGTTTTATTGTCTTAGAACAACACGATGAAAAAGAATTCTTTTCTTTATAAAACGACAACRCAAGACACTTATTGTTTGTAAAATGATTAGAATTTATGTTAGAATAAATCTGTATTAGAAAGATCACCAACAGGTTTGCTGGTTTTTAGTCCGCGTCGCCAATTTCTTAAATATTCAGCTAAGAAAATTCCGCTATAAAGTCAAAATTAAACAAAGGCGAACAAAGTCACTAGTTGAGACTCACCAGAATCAAGTCTTTGTCTGTAAACTATTTAGAAGAATCGAAGCGCGTAGATTAATGTTAAAAAATAAATACTGCTTGACTGCTTTATACGCAGTAACGAAAGAAATCCTTGTATGGGGTTCCTGTGCACCCTCCTAGTCTCCCTCTGATGTTTTTTGGAACGCCTGGCGGTATTTGACAACAACACCCATTGATCAAATCATTCCGATCGAGTGATTATCWYKCAGTATTTTGATTCATTCTTGATTTTAGTGCACTAATCTTGGTTAACTTAAATTCTTGATTGTCGTGAAATGTCTTAAGTGATTTTGGACAAATTTGTAGTGTATTTGATGRTTTWATAGCATAAAACGAGGTAWGATGCTGTGCTTTTGATTTGACATGTGGTGTTGCAAGTGTGTTCCGCATTGTTTGATAACCTTAATTGTAAAAATGAAAGATTTATTGCTTTTGGAATGACCACCATCCATTTTTATGTATTATTAATGAATACAAAATATTATAATTGAATTAGTCATTTAGATTTACGCCTGCTTGAAACGAAATCCAGATCACACGARTGCAGCGRMYCKTCAGTTAGACACTGGAATTCATGGCCACTGAAAGAAAAGGAAAATACGACCCTATTGAAATGCAGAGTCCAACAACTCCATCAGAACAGTTGCCACCAGTTGTGCCGAAAGAAGAGGAACTTGAGGATGATTTTGATAGAGACTTTTGGGTTCATGTAAGTAAAGCAATGTTGTATTAAGTCCTTGCTGATTAACGTTCAGTAATCCAACTTGAGCATCATTTTTTTGATACTATTGCTTAAGATTTCATACAGTTTATTTCCTACATACTTTTTCCCAGGTGCGTAAAATGTTTAACTCAGAAAAGGAAAAGAGTATTTCATGGTCCAACGCCATGGATAGAGTACGAGTAGCTCGGCTTGTCAAGAAATACAAGGACAACGGAAGTAAACCAGATCAAGATCCTTTACTAATTCTTGTCAAGATATGGCCACAAGCGAGTAAATATCAAGGCAAAGCTGACCTTGTTGAACCTTTGGTACTTATTTTGTGGAATTGTAATACTTAATATAATTTAATATACATTAATTATAAATACTTCTATTCTTTCTAGTTTGAACTCAAAA